AATGGGTGCGACTTCTATTAGGGATGCAGCTTCTAATACAGATTTTACGATATATCCTAAATATAACTGGCATATCACTGATTTTAAACATAATATGTACCTGTCCAGTTTTCTTCACCATGATATTATCATTATGCCGATCACCAATGCCAAGTACATAGGTAGCAACGCAGTAACCTGCACAAGACAAAGTGAACTCCTCCACTGCTTTATCCAAGCTGAAATATAAACATACTGTGGTTATTGTACCATTGCCAATGTTCTAATACTCATAATAATAATAATGAATATTATTCTATAAATCTTACCAGCATAGACAGGTTTTGAGAATAAAATGCAGGATGTCCATGGCAGAAGCTATTTAGAGAATGATGACTTTAATAAATACCTAGGATATTCAGATTACAGGGCCAATCAAATAGCAAAAAAAAAAAAGTTTAGCTTCTTCTTCTAAGAAAAATTTAAAAATCTGTGCAGTGACACAAAACTTTAACTTTGTATCTTGGTTACAACAAAGCGCACATTTGAATAAATCATTTGCAAGTCATGAAGATTGTAGGTGTAAGCTTTTAAACTAAAAAAACTGGGTCGTAAGAATAATAGCAACAAACATGTCACATGTGCGATGGGCTTAAGTCTCGCTTGTCAGCTAGTGAGAAACCAACCTTTCTGGGGTCTGGTTATGTTGTTTTAACCATTGAAATATGGCTTCTTTATTGAAAGCTGCTGTGGGAGAAGAACCCCTCGTTTTCTGTATCTTTGCTATAGTTTCGGCTTCTGTTACAACCTCTATAAGACCAACTTTATCTCCAGTTGATAGCGCCCTGTACGGTACCATCCTACGTAATAAAAACAAATTGTAATAATTTTCCCAAAACAAATAGATTTGTTTTTCATCAATGCATACATGAAAAAAAAGTTGGAAATATCATGATAAAAAGATACGACACAGTCATGTTACTGCGTATATTTACAATGCATTGTGGGAGATAACTATTACTGTGGAATACTTTATTTTCGCTGGAATTTATTTTCGCTGAATAGGCTTTCTGGGCGTTTTTTGCTTGGAATTTATTTTCACTGATTTTTGATGAGATTAATGTAAAATATAGGAAAAAATGTATATTTGCTGGATTTTTTTCACGGAATCATCTCTTCAGCGAAAATAGCGAAAATAAATTCCAAGCGAAAATAAAGTATTCTACAGTATACTGAAAGCTAAATTATTTTCTTTTAAATATTTTAACAATAATGGAATTTTTATCAATATTAATACACTTTTTAATAAAACTTTTCTATCCCAAGTCACTAAGAAAAGAATCAAGATATGAAGAAAAAAGTTCACCATAGAAACCAGTGTAAACATAAGTTGATTGATTGAATTCCCATTCCTTACCTCAGATCTAATCCTTCTGCTTGCCATATATTATCCATGATTTGAAACATTTGTAAGGTCAACATATCTTGTCGTAAATCTGTTGAAAGCAAACACCATACAATATAACATTTAAACAGGCTTATAATGCGAAAACTATAAATCTAATTTCTGGAGTGCGTTTCTTCTCAATTCAATTCATATCTAATATGATTCAAATATGGTATTCAGTTCAAAGAGAAAACACATGATCACCCTTCCCATGTGTCAGACATGAATTTGTAACAAGGCCTTGGTATATACTGTAATGTAGTTTATTGGGATCCAAGTCTATTTGAATCCTATTGTTTTGTTTTAATTTTTCTTCTTCTTTCGCCATTTTTTTTAACTCTAGAATGCCCATAAACTACATCGACTTTGAAAACTGTTGCACCTAACTTTCAGAATTTTGATTGGTTAACTGTTTATGCAGCAAACTTTGATTGAAGTTGAACAGGAAGTGTCAGTGAAGCTGACATTATTATGAAATTTGCTGCGTTTCATCTTTATATCAAACTCCTTCAAGAAGTTATTTTCATTGAAGAGATCGATTCAGTGACAAAAAATCCTGTGAAAATATTTTTTTTCCCAATAATTTGCATTCAATTAACCCAAAAATGTTTATGCAAAACAGCCAAACTTTTTTTTTTAAAGATACTCAATTCCAGTAAATGGAGAGTTAATTATGAACATGCTTCAAATACAGCATATATGGTGTACAAAACTCAACTGATTATTACACTATTTTGTTGTGGTTTAAAATTAGAAATTAGAGACAGAAGTTTACAAACAGGCCTGTTGTAGTGAACACAGACTCACATTTATGGGTCTTACAAATATCCAATTAACCCCTAAAGTATCAACAACTCACCATCTCCATGCTTGAATATAACATAGATATCTCGACCAATTTGATCTTCATTTTCAAATACCAACCATAATGGTCTCATCTTGGATTTCATAAATTTACATTTCGGAAGCCTGTAATGTCAAATTGTTATGGAACATCGAAGTTGAAAGTAAATTTGTATATAATTTTAAGGGACTGTACATTAGAGCAAATAAATAGAAAATTATTCCAAAATCAGAAGTAGAATAGAGACGAGACAGATTGTATTGTTAAGAAACATGGTATGAAGATTAGAAATGAACGTGCCAATTTTAGGAGTAACAATTATAGGAGTCACCCCACCCCCAACAACATCCACATCCACCCTGTGTCAGTTGGTAAATTCCCTCCCAATCAGACTATCTGACACAGGCTGACAAAAAAAATATGATAATCCAAACTGGTGTAAAGTTCAATATTATTGAATAAAACTTACTTAAGTTGTCGAAGTTTAAATGACGGCGTCAGTGGACATGGTAGATTTGATAGTGCATCAGTGTATGAATTCTGTTTGAGGCAACCAAGCATCCTGTCCTTTGTCTTATCCAGCACCTCTTTCCCTTTAGCACCACAGCTCTTAACCATCTCGTTTACTGATTTCAATTTTTGCAAGCTTTCAACCTGATAACAAACAAAAATTCTCTTCAATGGAATGATTGTTTTGAAAGTTAAAGTGCCTGTGCAATGCCCACCCTCACGTTTCCCATTTTAGATCTGTGTCCCACTGAAATGGGCAGTTATTGATTTTTTTGCTAAAAATGATTACTCGTATCCAAGTAAATTTGGGATATTTCTCGTGTTGTAGCCACGCCCACCAATCCTGAAACGGTAGACTGTTTCCGGATTTTCGACTCTCGCCGAAAGTGCGCCACCAAATGCCAAAATGCGAGAGGAAGTCATACCCCTGAGCCGTAATAACACTGGTCATTCAGTATAATTTTAAACGATATAAATTTTTCAGTCGGCGTTTTTTTTCTTTCTTTCTTTTGTCTATTTTCTTTTTTTGAGAGAGAGTTTTTAGATGTTGTGTTGTGGGCAGTTGCAGTGAAACGTATAGTCATAGTGTAAGTATTCACACGTTTCTAATCGATCCGAAGGTGCGACATCAGTGGACGAATGCCACTTAACCTCAGATTCCTTTTTTTGGAAAAACTGTCCTCGTCCATGAAAAAAACAACTAGGTTTAAAGAGAAACGCCGACAACATAAACCTGGCGCAACACTTTTGAAAGAAATA